TTGGCCATCTGTGTTCTTATCTAATTGCAGCCTTCCTTTATCTCCTGTGACCTTGGCAACGCCAATTCCATGGACTTCTGCCTTGATATCTCTGCCTAGCACTCTTACCCTAGTTCCTTAGCTGGCACTCTTGTCCCCCAGCCTTTGGGGCCAGGCCGTAGCTACATTAGTCCAGTTTCCTCCTCAGTAGCCCTGCCCTTGGTTATACATGACAAGGACAGACAAAGGGCATGGGGGCAGATGTCGCTTGGATAAATGCCTCTGTCTCCTCTGCCTTCTGCCATCACCAGCCCTGCTCCGCAGGGGAGTAGGAAGAGAGACATTGGGAAGAATTTCAAAGTCCAGCCAGAGTCCTTCCAACTCTGACAAGCCTTCCTCAAAAAGCTCCTGCCCATCTTCCGCTTCCCCTTCACTACACTTTCATGGATTTTTCATCTGGATCCAAGCTTGAGACTTAATCACATACTTTGTTTTGTTGTTATCTGATTTATGGGTCTCCACAACTAGATCAGAAGCTTCTAGAAGGCAGGGACTGTGTTATATATAACTATGTTATACAAAATTGCCTAGTACTGCACTGGGCTGGCCGCCTAGGTTTCCAGTCTACCCTACACACTGCTGCCACAGCCAGCTTGCTGACCACAGGCCCGACGAGGCCATGCAGGGCCCTTGACAGTCCAGTCCCAAACCACGTCCCAGCCTTCACTCTGTTCTTCTCACCTCCTACCTTTCTCATGTCATCATCCTCACAGCTCACCCCACTCACCCTCCATCCAAAACAGTTTAAAGCTTACTCTTCAAGATTTCCAGGTCCCTCCAAATACCATCTCTTTTCTAGAGTCTTCGAACATTCCTCGCAGAAGGTGTCACTTCCAGAATGTCCACAGCAGTATTTTCACACTTCTTCCTTTAACACGTACTACCTAGCACAAAGTAAGCACTCAATAAATATGCTGGAAAGAATACTATAACACCTTCCATTGTGGTTGTTTATGCTATGCAAATATCTTTTTCCTCCACTAAACTGTTATCTCTTTATACTCATCTGGGCCCAGTGGATGTGAAAATAGTAGACATTCAAGAAATGTATAGTGAATTGAATAGTAGGTATTCAGTAATGAATAAAATTCACTGAAATGAGTATGCCTAAATGGCAGGTACCAGCTCAGAGGGTTTCTATATTACTTTCCATATGACATTTCTGTATTACTTAGTACAAGTGACCAAAAAAACAACTTAATGTAGCTTGTGCGTGCATAACTCACACACTTGTAGGGGCAGCCAGGGCATAGTCGGATGTGAGTATGGCTCACTCAGACGCTTCCAGGACTTGCTCTTCAGGCTGCTTCTCTGCCTTTCTCTGCAGGCAAGCTTTATTCTCTCCTACTGGCAGGCTTCTTCCATGTGGCAGGGAACACGGCCCCGATACTTCCGGAGCCTCACTCCCCCATGCCCAGTGTCCCCTGCTAGAGGGAATCCAGTCTTCTTCTCCCTTCGGTCTTACGTTCAAAATCCCAGGCAAGGATGTAATTGTGACAGATAGGGGTGGGACCTCTACCAAAATGACAGTGCCCATCTTAACGGTGAGGAGAAGACCATCTTCGAGAACTGGGTCTGGGTGTGGGAGGATGGTTGCTGTTCTAGACACACAAACCGTAGCTGTCCACAGTAGGGAGAGATGCAGTGTGCTCTCAAGGGAGGCGGGGAGAAGGGTGAATGGTGACGGTGATTTGGGGAGCTCAAGGTGGGGCTCTCAAGAGGCCAGAGGAACATATTCTGTTATCAGCGGAGGGAGGGACAGGCTGACTGCATTTTCTTCAAGGGAGAGATGGGGTGGGGACAGGGCCCACAGTGACGGGAGCCCTGCTGAGACTGACCTGCTTTGGGGAGGCCAGGACACCCGGCTGAGGAGAGGGAAGAGGAAGTCAAGGGGCAGTGGGGCTAAGAAGGAAAGGGGCATGGGAGGCGAGGGCAGCCAGCGTGCACGTCAGCCCAACCCGGAACCTCTGAAGCTGGGGCAGTGCCCTCCCTCCTGATACAGTGGGGGAAGGGCACAAATCCACTTTCTGACATTTAGTGGTTCTTTTTGTTTCCTATTTTCTTTTCTTTTTTTTTTTTTTGAGGAAGATTAGCCCTGAGCTAACATCCATGCTCATCTTCCTCTACTTTACATGTGGGACGCCTGCCACAGCCTGGCTTGATAAGTGGTGCCATGTCCACACCCGAGATCCGAACTGGCAAACCCCAGGTCGCCAAAGCAGAACGTGTGAACTTAACCGCTGCGCCACTGGGCTGGCCCCCATTTAGTGGTTCTTTTTATGGGTAGACTTATTTTTATCATTTCTAGACCTCAAGACTGCTGCTGGAAGAAACAAGGCACTGAGGCTTCTGGGATTCCAGAAAACATTCAGTGGTGGGCTCAGCTGTAGACATCGGGCTGTAGCCTCCCTTGGCGTCACTTTGCCAGCTGTCACATCCTTCTCTCCTGTCTACACAGGAACTGGAGTTGGAATGGGGTAGGAGAGCCTCTTCTCTCAGCCCACAACCCCCACCTCGCAGGAGGAGCACTGAGCACTGAGACCAGGGAGGAGCTGCCTGCCCGCTCCTATGGAAGTCATCCTCCTGGCCTGCCCATGGATCCGCCAGCCAGAGGCGGGGCAGACATCAAAGCCTCTTTTGGCAGCACCTCCCCTGCAGAGCCTGTCTCCCTGGAGAGGATCTTGCCTTTCAAATACTAACCAGCTATGAGCTGGCACCACATCCCAGCCCCCACACACCAGGCAGCTGAAGCAGAATTCTCCTTTACTGGGCCCACACATCTGGCCTAAATTCTTATTCCACCAAGACAAGTTTATTGAACAGTTAGGCAATGCCTCCACACACAGCCACTGCAGACAAGCTCAAAATATACTTTAATACATTGAAAACACCGTTTCAGAGACTGGCTTTCTCACAATAAAGATGCAACTGACATTCATTGGGTGCCGAAACGTCAAATTGTGGCAATCCGGCAGGGAGCCTGACAAGCCATTAAATCTGAAGCTCGCTTCGGCCGATTCCTTTCCTTTCATGCCTGTCTTCCCCAACCATCGATCTGGGCTCCTGAAGCCGACATTTCGGTGGGACCTTCCAGACTCTGGCCAGGTACCATCTCTATCCCTGCCATCAGTTCTTCCACTGAAATGCCCTGCGGAGCGGGGTGGGAGGACCACAGCCGCTGGGAGAGGAGCCAGGAGTGAATGGGAACAGATCTCACCTTCGGTGCCCTCCCAGGGCTAGGAAGGTGAGACCTTCAGTCTCTGGGAAGAAAGGACTGCTGGGAAACCACCCAAGGATGGTTTCCACGAAGGGTGAGCCTACGCTCCCCTCCCCACCTCGGCAGCCTTCCATCTGGTCTGGGCAGGGGAGGAGAGGCACAGAACGGGCAGGGGCTTACGTAGGATCCGGTCCCCAAGATAGATGGCAGCAGGCAATCCCTAGCTCCACACTGGGGAACTCTGAGTTCTGAGCCCAGCCCAACTCCTCTAAGAAAGTTTCTGTACTTTTGTCTTTTAACTTTCCCTGGCTCCAGAAAGAGGATGTGGATGGGTTATTGAGAATAGTAGGGTAGGAAGACAAAGAGAGGACAGAAAGGACCCAAATGCTAGGAATTGGGAAGGGTGCTAAGAAGGAGAGGGACACCAGGCCCCAGGGATCTGGTTTACAGCTCTGTGTCTCCATGTGCATATGCACCTTCCCCCATCCTGGGCCACGGAGGACAGGTGTGGTGCGAAGTGTTGGGTTAGGTTGGGAGGATCAAAGAGGCCTCTTCCCAAACCCCTGAAGTTGCGTCCAGTTGCCTTCCTCACAGCATAGTTTACACCTCTGACCGCTGAGGTATATGTTAATGCCTCCCACAGCATATGAATATGGGCAAGTGTGTGCTGAGGTAGGTGTGGGAATATATCAGTCAATGACGATGTGTTGTGGCAACCAGTCGATGGTGCATGTCTGTACTTGAAAGCCACAAGGTTCTAGGTAAAATCTATGGGAGGCCCTGTTGCACAATGCTGGTGAGTGTGTGGCTGTGGGGGTGTGATTAATAGTTTATAGGCTGTGTATAAGTGTGCATGGCTGTCTGAGTGTGTGCAAATTAAAATGGAAATGTGTGCCAGAGGATGACACAAATGCAGGAAAGCACACGGGCTTCGGAGTCAGTCGACTTGGGCATGCATCCTGGCTGTGTTATTAGCCAGATGTGTAACCCTGGGCGAGTCACTGATCCTCAATTTCCTCAGCTCTGAAATGAGGACAATAATAAGTACCTTTCAAGATTGCCATGAGCATTAGAAATGTACCACATATACAAAGGTTTTGGTGCCAGAGCCACAACCATAGGAGACAAAAGAAGGCAGCTATTATCATGCACTGTGGACGCGCCTCTGATGGGTACAGAGGCAAGAGGAGCAAAATGAGCCTGGGGTGTGTGTGTGAAATCTGGGGAAGGCGGTATGTACTAAGGTGTGTGTAGAAGCAAAGCTGTGTACGTGTGTGTGCATCCAAAGCAACTCCTTCTCCTGTTCGGGGAGCCCCCTATTCAGACAGAGCAGGCGGGTGGGAAGGGATGTACAAGTGTCCGCAGACACCCTGGGTTTCTGGGTCCTGGGTCCTGGGTCTAAGCGAGTAAGAGGTTGAGAGGCCCTAGGAGCTGCAGGAAGCCAGCCGCCTGCAGAAGCTTCCTTTTCCCTCCACCCAGCAACGGTTGAATACCGCACCCACATCCACTGCCCACCGCTACCCCCCACCCTACCTTCGCTTCGCCAGTGAGAGCAACGGCGGAGGAAATCCTGCAGAGAGGATTCCTCCCCTCCCTCCCCCAGGCCCCCTTAAGACAAACCAGGAAGCGGCCGCAGCGCGCCGCGGGGCCACCTTAACGGCGGAGGGCCGGCCCGGCCCCCGCCAGGCCCCGCCCGCGCCGCGCGCCCCGCCCCTCGCGCCCCGCCCCCCGCTCCCCAGCTCGGCTCGCGGGCGGGCGGCCCGGGTCCGCCCGAGTCGGCTGGAGCTGTTGCCATGACGAGCATTTTCGCGAGAAAGCTCTGCCGCTGAGACTGTCCGACGCGGGGGCCGAGGGAGGGGCGCGAACTTCCTGGGGACGCATCCCTCCGCGGAGAGCGAGCCCGGGGACCCCCGCCCAGCTCTGCTGCGCCCGTTTTCTTCCGGGACCCCGCGAGGTCCTTCCACTGGGCCGGAGCGGGACGGGCGGAGAGCGCAGCCGGCATCTCGCGCGCGGTGGCCACGCCGGGGCGGCCCGGGCGCCTGCCTCGCTCCGTCCATGGAAACCCGCAGGGCGAGCGCCGCGCGGAGCCTGGACCTTTGCTAGAAAGAGGTAGGCTTGCGGAGAGTGAATTGACTCGCGGTGTGCAAACTTTGTTTCTTTCTTTCCTCTCAACGGCTTCTTAAACCCCCTGAATTTCCTCTTCCTAGCATATTGTTTGCCGCTGGGTTTGGGGTGTGTGCGCGCGCTCGCGCGGGCGCAGATTTGTCAAATTCTCTTTTTCTTTCCTAGCTCTGTTTTGAGAAACCATATAATCAAACGAGTGATTTCTGTTTCTTTTCCTACTTTTTGTCATTCCTGGGCCTTGGGGGGTAGGGAAATGGAGGGAGTGTTTTTTTCACACCCAAACTGAGCTTTTGGAAAAAGCATTTATGTCCCCCCACCCGCTCCTGCCCTCCTCCTCCCCCTTGGCTTGGGAATGAGACACAGAATGGAAAACCGTTGCAAAAATATTTTCCGCGTCTGTTCCCTTTCTCGAAAGCCCCAAAGAGAGATGGAAAAAAAAGAACTGAGTAAGAAATTTTCAACAAGGAGGAGGGGTTGCTGTGGGGAGTGGGAGGGGGCGCGCTAGGGGTGGGTGGAGGCAGGACCTGGGAGAAGTTGGGGGGGTGGGGAAGGGGAGTGGACAAATTCAATTTCTTTGGCTTTGTAGAGAAACCTCAGCAGTTTCTCTCTGCCGCTTGCAAAACATCCTCAGACTTTCACGTCTATAATTAGCTGTGGAAAAAGCTGGGAGTTCCCTTGAACCGCTGTTGTTTGAGTGTGTGCAGAGCTCAAGAGCCAACTGTATGAGTGTCTCTAAGGGCACCGCCCCATACATCTCTGGTCCCAAAGGGGAGAAAGGAGAAGGGGTGGCGTTGGAAAGTTTGCAGTGTCAAGGCTGGTGACTGGGGCTAGCCAGTGTTTGGCAATTGGGAGTTGGTCCCCGGCATCCTTGGGGGGGGGGGTCCCTGAGCATCTTGGGCGCCTGCGTTGTCTTGCTGAAGAGCTGGAAATTAAGGCTGGGATTGTCCCTCCTGCTCTCCTTTCACACACACGCTCACTAACATCCTTGGCTCGCTCTTAGGGTGGAGGAGGCCGGCTGGCATCCTCCCCAGGCGAGTCCAGCCTCACACACTCCTCCATCTCACGAAAGGACCCACCGCTCTTCTCCAGCTGGGTGTGGAGGACGCAGGAGTGGCCGGCCACATCCCAGGAGAGAGTAGGCACTCTCTTGGCCAGAAGCACCTCCCTCCTGGGCGTTCCTGCCCGACTACAGTCGCTTGCAGACATGATGCCGGCGGATGCCAGCTGGCCTGGTAGAGGGGATGTCAGATGAAGATAGGCGAGCCTTCAACTGACTCTGCTGGGGGAGGGGAAGTACAATCCCATTCTACAGTGCCATCTCCTCCGCTGGGCGGGGTGTCTGGCAAGAAGTCTTAAGATCCTTCACTCCCTCCTTGAGCCACTCCCCAGAGCTGCCCCTTCTTGCCCTTCCTATTCGGAGGCCCCCTCCAGCCCACTCAGCTTCGGGCCCTCTTTACATGGAGGGAAGAGAAGAGACCAGGATCATCCTAGGCTGGGACAGGCCATGGAGGGGGGCCCAGGGGTCAGGAGGGATAGGGTGGGGCGAGGTCTAGGAGGAGGGCAGGAGGAGGTGATGGCTCTGATGGCTGGTGAGCCCAGTTCCCTCGTTGGCTAGAGGTGGTGGCGTGGGAGCTGGCTCTGGTAGGTGGGTCCGGGACCTGAAGCAGCCTGATGGGGGCAGGAGGGAGGGTCAGGCTCCGGGAGAGGAAGCACCTGCCCAGCTAGTTTTGTTCGAGGAGCGGTAAGGGCCAGAGCTTAGAAACTGAAAAGAAGAAAGCAAAAGACTTGGAGGAGAGATTAAATGGGCTGGGGAAGCAGTAGGAACCAATTTTCCTTTTGAGGTGCTGGGTGATTGATCTGACTGCACCGCAAGGCCCAACGGCTCCTCCCTCGCTGCGTTCTGGTCAGGGAGGGAGTGAGGCCTTCCACAGTGGGCAGGGAACCCAAGATAGCACCCATGCCCTTGTTCTGTAGGGAGGGAGGGGAACCCATTTCTTTGCCCTGCCTGGGAGCCCCTCCTCCCTGCCACCATCCAGCCGAGGTACGCCCCGGGAACCATGGTGCTCCCTCTTCTCTGGCACCCTCCCATCTTGGACGCGCATAATCCCACCACTTCTACAGCTGGCCTTCCTAGTTCAGTGCTCTGACTAGGGGTGGGTTCGGGCGGGGCTTCTCCCTGAGGAGCTGGTCCCTATTTAGCGCAGGAGGCTCTGCTTCTGTGGCCTTGAGTCGCGGTGGGCGGCGGGGAATCTCCCCACAGCGCCAGCCCTTCCTAGGGCTGCAGGCTGGATTGACGCTGCAGCAACCCAGCAAACCCGTGGCAGCTCGGCTCCACCCTCCGGCTCAGTCTTCCTCTGGGTGCTCCGTGCAGCAGGTGCTCCGGGCTGGGGAGCAGAGGTTTCCTGCATGCTGAGCCTCAGCCTCTTCCTCTCCCACCTTCTGTCCCTCCTGGATTCAAGGTCAAGTCGAAGGAGCGCAGCTGTCTTAGTCCTGGGACGCGCAGCCCCGGCACAGCGCCTGCGATGCTGAGGTGCTTGGTCAGTGTTTGTTGGAAGAAGGAAGTGGCACTGAGGGAGCCTGGGAATCACCCCCTCTGAGTTGATCGCTAACTCGCCCTGTGGTCTTCGGTTTCCCCTCTGCACAGTGGAAAGCCTGCTCCCACAGTAACGGTGGGAGGGAGTGGCTGAGTCAGATTTGTCAGATCCCTATGGTCTTTGATGTCAGAAGAAAGTCAGAATGAGAGGACCCAGTTAGGGGGCAGAAGTGGAGCAGTGAGAGCTTGCCCAAAGTGCAAGTGCTGGAAGAAGTAAGGTGTGGGGCAAGGGGGAGTTTCCTGAGCAAGGATGCTGGGGGCCTTACTCCTCCCCAGTCTCGCTGACTGGAGGGTGCTGAGAGGAAGAGGGGCCCAGGGCGGCTCAGCCCAGCATTGACCCAGCTGCCACCTGTCACGAATTCCAGCATTCCACAGGCAACTGCCTCTTATTCAAGAATTTAGCTTCTTTCAGTAATTCCTGTGGGCCCTTTTCTCTTTTTTCCTCTGCCCCTGGCCTTGGGCCCAGCACCCAAAGACGTGGATAAACCCTGCCCGTCCAGAGCGTTCCAGATCCACCAGGCTTTGGAGGAAGGAAAGGAAGGTGTTCGTTCTTGGTCCCCAGGATCTTAAGAAGCATGTTTCGCTCAGATTGACGCAGGTGTTTGATTTGACCTTGAAGAGGAATGCCCGCCCTGGGCCTCCCTGCCTTCCCTGGAGGAGGCCAGCCCTCTGACCTCTCCCCGCAAGCCTGCCCTCACGCAGGGCCCCTTCCCAGCCTGGCGCCCTGCTCCCCCGCCTGGCACTGATTCCTGTCATCCCCAGTCAGTATTTGGTGGGTAGAGTGGGAAGGAGAGGGACGAGAAGGGCAAGGCCACAAGTAAGCAGAGCACCTGGGCCGGGTCAAACCCGGACGACAGCCTTCCGCTCTCTGCGGAGCTGTCGGAGGAGTAAAGCAGGCCCTGGGGCTGGAGTCCAAAAGCTTGTGTGGAATGTTTTGTACTCGGCTTCCTCTCCCAGCATCTCTCTTTGTCTCCTCTTTCCTCTTTCCCTTGTGTGAGCCGTTCTTGTTCCACTGACTGACTTCCTCTGCTCATGTTAAAACGGATGACAGGGACCTTCCACTCTGCCTCCACCTTAAGCCAGTCCTCTGTGTTCAGCCCATGTGAACGTGGGTTGAGGAGGGAAACCAGGCGGGATCCAGTTAGAACCAGAGCCAAGGGCTCCCAGTCGGGGCGCAAGGGGGTTGCCTTGGAGGCAATTTGTGTTGGGCGGTAGAGGGGAGGCCAAAGGAGAGAAAGAAAGGTGAGAACATAGGTGCCAAGGGGCGAGGGCCCCCTCTGTGCCTCTCCTCACTCTAGGTCCTCTCTGGCTGGAGTCTTCTCCCTGCTCTGGTTTCCCAAAATAAGTACAGAAATCTCTGGGGCAATTCAGGAAGGTGAACTGGAGTAGCATCAGTGAGAGCCCTTTGCTCTTGCCTTCCTGCCGGATCCCTAGGGCAGAGGGAACTTGGGATGGTGTGTTTATTGGGGAGAAGGTTAAGACTCTCAGGTAGGCTCAGGGAAACTCTCAGCTCAGAACACTTCATAGCAAGATGCACATAGATTGCAAAATCAATGCCAGCGGTGCAAACCAGTACAATCCCAACAGTTAGCAGTGTCTAACGAAACAACTATGCATTTACCCAGGAGTCCCCCTTCTAGGAATTTATCCAGAAAATGCACATTCACAAATACAAAAAGACATGCCTCAGGTGATTCTTTAGGGCATATTTGTAATAAGGGAATCATTGGGAACTGCCCAGTGCCAGTTCTTAATAGGCTGGTTGGATGAATAATGGTAGATGCACACAGCAGAGAACTGTGCAGCCAGACAACTGAGTAGAAGCCCCGTACATTGATATGCTGTGATGTCTAGGATGTGTTATTAAGTGAAAAAAGCAAGATGCAAAAGAGTGCATATAGTATACCACCTTGGGAAAGCAGGAGAAATAAGAATGTTTTTTGCCAATATACACACACACACAGGAAGGATAAACGAGGAGTTCATTAGAATGGTTACCTGAGGAAAGGGCTGGAAACAGGGTGGGGGAGGGAGGGTGGGAGTGACACTTCACTCATTGTACCTTTTCAGACAGTTTTGATTTTCGAACCAGGTAAATATTTTACATATTCACAAATTACATTAGATCCAAAAGAAAGGAGAAAGTGAACCCTAAAGCCGACCCCAACAGAAACAACGAGCCTGAATGAGTATCAACTTAATGACTCTACAAAGAAAGGATTAAATTCAAGTAATTGTTGAGTTTAACACCCTGACTCTGTGTCTTTAGGAGAATGTAAGGCTAAAAAGAACTGCAAAAAAAATCTTGAGCTTTGCTTTGTAGGTGTGTTCTTGGTCATAGTATTGGTGTCATAAATTGGAAACAGTTTTCTGTTTGTTGTAAGACACATCA